CTCAAAACTGTAGAAATGGTGGTAGACTTTAGGAGAAACCCTCCCATACTACCACCTCTTACAATACTAGACAACACAGTATCAACAGTAGAGACCTTCGAATTTCGAGGTTCTATCATAGCTCAAGACCTAAAATGGAAACCTAACATCAAAAATGTAATCAAAAAAGCACAACAAAGAATGTTCTTTCTGTGCCAACTCAGAAAGCTCAAACTGCCCAAGGAGCTGTTGAGACAGTTCTACAACGAATGATTGAGTCTGTCATTTGCACCTCTATAACTGTCTGGTTTGGCTCTGCAACCCAACAGGACAGACAGAGACCTCAGGATAATTAGGGCTGCAGAAAAAACAATTACTACCAACCTGCCTTCAGTCGAGGACCTGTATACTGCATGAGTCAAAGAGAGGGTTGCAAAAATATTTACAGACCCTTCACATCCTGGACACAAACTGTTTCAACTCTTTTGGCATGTGGCTTCTGATATATGTGTATTTGTGCATTATACTTGTTTATATGCACACATGTGTCAGATGCATATAATTATGCAAAGGAGAAGATCTCCAAGATTTGTTTCACCTGAAATTGGCAACCAAAGTTGACATGTTATAGAAGTTGAGTATTGTAAAGCTTTCTATCAAAATTTAAAAATGTATTTGGGATGAGATCATTTTCAACAAATGGTAAACACAGGTAAACAGGAACAGTCAGATTTCTTTTAGTTTAATCCATGAACAGTATTTAGTAAAGTAAGTTGCTTTATAACTGATATAGTATGTGTTTATAGCTAGTATTTGAAGAAGAGCAACAAAAAGCTTGTTCAGACATTTGCTAACATCATGGAAATGGTTCATTTAAGTCATCAAGTTCTGCCTTTATTTAATGTAGAATACAAATACAAATCTAACCCCTGCTTGAATATATTTAACAAAGGAACTAAAGAACTCTGTTTAATTACTTCCTCTTCCTGCCCTCTCATATCATGATGGTTTTCGATGGAAATGTTTTTCTGAGCATTCCATTGCAATTTTCTTGTAAGACAAGTTATGGCTTCTCTGGCAAGATTCTCAATTAGAACTGGGGTGGAAGTACTGATTTAAACCCATTAACCAAGGACCACTTGTCTAGGTATTATAAGCACTCTGCAATTACACCTGCAAGCAAACTGTTAACCAGTGCATCTTAATGATATCCAGTTATAAATCTCTAGGCTATAAGGTGATGCTATGAAGATTTTTTTTTTTTAGTGTCTGGAGGCAGTGTGGGTCTGGATAGAGAAAAACAGGCTTCGGTTCAATCCGAGCAAGATCAAGTGGTTGTGGACTTTTTGATTCCCTGATACTGGATGGGATTATATTCCCCTAGACAGATTTGCTGTGTAATTTGGTGGTCCTCTTGGACTCTCAGGTCCTATAGGAAAAGCAAATGGTAGCCATGACAAGGATAATCTTTGCACAAAACCATATTATGCATCAATTTGCTAATTCCTAAATTGGATGGCGCTATGCATACTCATGTCCTGTTCACCTCCTGTATGGACTAGTACAATATGATGCATATGGGGTTGTCCTCCAAAACCACCTGGAAACTGCATTTGGTTCAGAATATACTACAAGGATACAAGTGGTTATAAGTCCACTTTGGTATCACCCTGCAACACCGCTGCTTTACAAGCTGAATTGGTTAGTTTCAGCACCTGCACTCGATATTTTTGACAGATATATTAATCAAAGAGGATTTGATATAATCCCTTTGTGCTTATCTAAAACAACAGTTGGTATCCAATATAGCAGTCAGATTCCCAGCAATGAAAGTATGACAAGGTCATTTTATTACTCAACCACCCCTCCCACAAAAAAGGATCACAGTGCATTTTCCCTCTCAATAGTCTTGGATTTTGATTGGCAAGAATTCCGGTGCAAGACTCACCACTCATCTAGATCCTTCAGAGGAAAATCCACATGGATCATGGTGCTGCAGCTCGTCCCTCCCAATTTGAGTCTCTTCAGATGTATTGGGGCTACAGTTCCTGAAAGCAAGTCTGTGTGTGATCAAAGGCCGTATAATTCTAAATAGCATCTACTTTGCTATAATATACTTTATACACCAGCTACTGTTTTAATACTTGCATTTACCTAGATGTATAAAAGTAAGAATGGAATTATCAAGCAGAAGTAACTGACAAAACCCTTACAATGCTCATAGAAGTCCTAAGAAGCCTGCATCAATGTTTACATTTAGCCTGAGAAATGGACAACCCCACAAATACAGGAAAGTCTCTTGCAATAAGCAGTTAGAAGAAATAAATTGATGACTTTCAAACGTCCAATTCCTCTTTCTCACCCTGCTCTACCCCCCCAATTTCCATATGATATGTTATAAAACTAGGACTGATACTGTGTGATGTGCGTGGTAGAAAAAATTAGAGATTATTTACCAGCCTTCTGGGATTATTTACCAGCCTTCTGACACTGGCAAGCATCCTGCTGGGGTGGGAGTTGCAGGCTTCAAAGAGATTGGACCAGATGAAAAGGCTTTTGGGCCAAATTTTTCCATGGAGAGCTAACAAAACTGATTTTGTTCACAAATAAGCAGCTGAGGGGGAGGAAGCTTTTATGCTGGATTGTGTTCCCTTAGCTTAGTTGGTTTTTCTTCACCACTAATCCCCCAAAACGTGGCCAAATAAATCATGTGGTTTGTTTTTTTTTTTTAAAGACATGCATATATAGTATGTGTTTGACCAGCAGATGCATTTCTGTATGAAAAAGTGTGTGTGCGTGCGTGTGTTTCTTCTTAGATGTCTTTTTTGGAATGTCAATGTACAAAGTTAAGCTGTTCCCCTTAATATTTATTTTATTTATTTGATTTGTCAGTTGCTTACAAGATAATAAGTATAAGGATAAACATAATTAGGAATCCATATAAGAAAAATAAAAGAAACAATAGGTTGGTAGGCACATTGGTGTGCTTATGCAGGCCCCCTACAGGCCTCTTAGGAAAGGGGTGAGGTCAATAGTAGACAGTCTAAGGTTAAAGTTTTTGGGGTTTGGGGAAGAAACCACAGAGTCAGGTAGAGTATTCCAGACATTGACCACTCGGTTGCTGAAGTCGTATTTCCTGCAATCAAGTTTGGTCCGGTTAACCTTGAGTTTGTATCTATTGTGTGCTCTTGAATTGTTATGGTTGAAACTGAAGTATTCATTAATAATAGCCTGGAAGGCCTCCAGCAGGTATAAGGAAAAACAGAGGGAAGAAGGGTAGCATTATTATTATTAACATAGACCTCAGCAATCTACAGTATCCTTCATAGATCTTTCTACTGTTTAGCTGTTGCTTAAAACATTGCTTGCAACAGATTTCCCTATGCTGGAATCCCTCAGAATCATGCTTGGCACTACCTTGTCTTTTTGAATCAAAGTAATGTCACTTTTATCCTTCTGAAACTTTTAATAAACCCTGTTTATGCAACAAAGGGATTTTTAAATTAATCACATTTCTGATATTATAGTTTCTACTAAACTTTGGTTGTTTAATTATTTATCCAACCTATTAAAGTTTTACCGGATAAGACTTGAGACTGATCTGAAAGTGGATTTAAAAGTGACAGGTTACAAGAATGAGAAAAGATGCTACACTGGACATACAAACTGGCTGATGTTTTAATATTTAAAAAAGATGTACAAATAACAAACCAAAATAATGACCTGGATAACTTTCCTATATTGGATTTACAAATGAGACTTGTCAAAGCCTTGAAGAGTTATATGGAAAGAGATCAATAAACATAGAAATCAACAGGGCATTAAAGAGACTAAAAATAAAGTTTATTTAAAGTAAAAGGAAGGAATGTAAAATTGGTTTATTTTTTTTAAGGTTAAGAGTAGATAAGATGTTATCTCTGATAACCCTTTAAGGACTTTTGTTGATTAGGACTGAACAATGAGGCTTCAAGGATTTCTTTACACAGGTAACCCTTGACATGCAATCTTTTGTTTAATGATTGAAGTTACAACAGCACTGAGAAAAGTGACTGACAAACCCTGCTCTCACTTACCACCATTACAACATCTCCACAGCGACATGATCAAAAGATAGGAACTTAGCAACTGGCATGTATTTTGGATGGTTGTAACCTCCCGAAGTCACACAGTTGCCATTTGTGACTTTCCCAAGATCAGTAGTTGTATTTTAAGAGAAGTTATTAAATTTGTTTATATTTTGATGAAGGAGAAAGTCACACACACACACACACACACACAATATTCTTATTTTTCTTTGTAGTTTTTCTTTTTTCCACATTCTATTTTTAGTTTATATTTGTATCTTTTTAATTGTAATTTTTAATAAAATTACTATTTTAAAAAGCGCCCACATGGTTACCACAGTTCTGAGATGTCAGCTCTTTCCATTCAAGTGAAGTATAACGAGAAATAGATGTGTTATGTATGCCTGTAAATTTATCTGCTAAATTTTTGACATATCTCAAATACCAACAATTTTATGTCTTTCACTCCCAGATGTTATCACAATAATTCTGTATCGATACCCTTGCTTTTATTTTGGAACCTGCATGAATTCTGAAACAAGTTGTACCCTATAGGTTATAAGATTATGGAATGTGAAATCAAGTAGGCTCAGAGTCAGCAGTCTGAGGAATATTGCTTTCTTAAATTTGTCTGGTTTAGAATTACCCGAAACATTATCCACGTAGCTCAGCATCTTGGAAATAATGAGACAGTAGCAAAGCTATTTTTAAATAATTTATTTTGTAGTAGTATATGGGTGTAATCTGCCTGACTCAAAATAGTTTGGTCTACTTATTTTATTTAGCTTTCCAAAGGCCAAACCATTGGATAGTTACAGACAAAACAGAATTATAATTTATTGCCATGTTTTTTAAATTAATTTTTTGATTGTCCGTGCTTATGTGCTTTAGTCATAATGACTGTTGTTAGTCCTGTATCGTACTACAATTGATCTCTTGTTTTCCCCTCTGGTCCAGATACAATGCCATCAATCCCTGCTGAAACTGAAATGGATAAAATGACTTGCACTCATGTTTCGGTTGACTGCATACCCAATGGAATCTTGGAGAAGGAATCTTATAGTTCGCCAGAAAAGGAGAGGAAGTGGATCAGGCCTGATGCCATCAGCAAGTGTACCTGGGAGCTTGGAAAATCTCCTTCTGAATCACCCCATCACCATGCTACATTGTAAGTGGTTGTTTGGTCAATAGACAGATGGAGGAAAGGCCTGATTGGAAGGTGGCTTTTATTGTAGGATGGCCATTCAGTTTCATCCATTCTGATGTTAGTTGGGGGTAATGAACTTTAGGATTATTTTCCAATAATATTGTATAACTTTCTTTCTGGTGTAGAATAAAGCCTTCAAAAATTATGCCGGATATCCTGAAAAACATTGGAGATACTCCCATGGTGCGTATCAACAAGGTTGGAAAGTTATGTGGCCTCAAATGTGAACTCTGTAAGTATTTGTTATAGTGATGCTTACTTGGAATTGTAAACATAAACATGTAAGGGGGCTCTTAATTTCAAAGGACCAAATCAGTCAGGAATTTAGTAGACTTTGTGACTTCATTATTTTTGAACAATGATGCTGTTTATGATATTATTTTGCTCTCAGTGCAGCAGTTGGAAACTGACATACAATCACCTGATTCTCCAGTCTGTATATTGCTAGTGAGGCTTAAAACCCTAAATTGTATAAGAACAATTTAAGACGTTGCATGAGGAACGTGATGGGTAGAAAGAAAACTTATTGGGAAAGAAGAGAAATAGCAATAACACTTATACTTATGTATCGTTTTACAATGCTTTTCAGCCCTCTCTAAGCGGTTTACAGAGTCAGCCTATTGCCCCCAACAATCTGGGTCCTCATTTTACCCACCTCAGAAAGAGGGAAGGCTGGGTCAACCTTGAGCCTGGTGAGATTCGAACTGTCAAATTTCAGGCAGCCAGCAGTCAGCAGAAGTAGGCTGCAGTACTGCACTCTTAACCACTGTGCCACCATGGCTCACATAATGCCTTGGTTCACCATGGCTCACATAATGCCTTGCCTTCCCTCACATTGGGAATACTGCATCCAGTTTTGGTTGCCACAATGTAAAAAAAGATGTTGAGACTCTAGAGAGCATGCAGAGGAGAGCAGCAAAGATGATTAGGGGACTGAAGGCTAAAGCATAAAAAGAACAGTTGCTGGAATTGGGCATGTCTGGTTTAATGAAAAGCAGGATTGAAGGTGACGTGATAGCAGTGTTCCAATATTTGAGGAGCTGCCACAAAGAAGAGGGAGTCAAGCTATTCTCCAAAGCACCTGAGGGCAGGACAAGAAGCAATGGGTGGAAACTAATCAAGGAGAGAAACAACCTAGAACTAAGGAGAAATTCCCTGACAGAACAATTAACCAGTGGAACAACTTGCCTCCAGAAGTTGTGAATGCTCCCACACTGGAAGTTTTGAAGAAAAGATTGGACAACCACTTGTCTGAAATGGTATAGGGTCCCCTGCCTGAGCAGGGGGTTGGACTACAAGGTCCCTTCCAGCTCTATGTTCTCAGAACAGAAAAAGGTTCTGTATATGTCTGGTTTTGGGATCTGAGCTTATGGAAGAGGATTGTCAGACTATGTGGTTGCTTATGGAAGGTACAGGATACTGGGCTAATCCAAAACCAGCTTCAGAATTGATTCATCAGAGGCTGTTTGTTTAGTCCAATATTCAATTAGTATATGCTATCTATCAGCTATAAATATAATACTTCTAGATATCTACGTATATGTAGATATCTGTGCATATATTCAGATATGCCTTTTCTTAGAATATGGATAGATGAAATGGCATTTGCCAAATCCCTTGCAGAAGGTTGGTGGGTGTCACTTTCTTGATTCATCTGAAACATATCCTACTTTAATTGTGGTATTCAGTGGCCAAATGCGAGTTTTTCAATGCTGGAGGCAGTGTGAAAGACCGAATCAGCTTACGAATGGTGGAAGATGCTGAAAGGGATGGGATTCTTAAGCCAGGAGATACCATTATTGAACCAACCTCAGGAAATACAGGTAAATAAATCCATTTGAAGTGTGGTATCGAGAAGTGAGTGGAATGGGATGTACTTTGCTGAAGAGGGTCTCCCTCCTACCCCTGGTCTTGTCAGAAAATAAGACTAGTAACAGATTTTAAATTTGTAAGGAAGTGACTGGATACTGAAGTGAGCAGGCATTAATTAAAAATGAGTAATGCAAGTCTTAGTTCTAACTGAATACTAAACACTGTTGGAACAAGTTTTACAAACTCGGGGGGGAATAACTGTTTTGCTTACCGTTTTTAAACAGTATACATTTCCTGTCTGCTATATGATTAATGATTTGACTGAGCAAATCAAATCATCCCTTTATGAAGGGATGAGGGAATGTTAAAGTGGTGTATACACAGTTTGGGACTATAATCTCATTCAGCCATGTAGGTGGTAGGTCAAGAGAAAAACATATGCATAGATAGAGATGTATGAAAAGTCTGTCTTACAGCTCAGCCATCTTTTTCTCCTGTTATCATTATGGGATCTAGCTGGTTCATAATGGCAGGACATAAAACAACTCTGGAATACAGGCTCTTGGGCAGCATTATCATATCTTGTTAGGATGGTCATTTTATACATTAGTCTTTCTCCCTAAAATACTATATTTAACTCAAACACTGAGAGCTGCTACCAATGCGTAACTGAGATCAAGTAGAATGATATATTTCCAGAAGTTTTATACCACATATCCCAATTAATATCAGCCATAAGAATTAACAGGGAGACTGGGAAATATCTGGACGATGCCAGGTTGTTTATTCTTGGTATATGTATGGCTTTTTTTAGTGACATTTTTTTTTTTTTGGTTGCAGGAATTGGACTGGCCTTGGCAGCTGCAGTGAAAGGATACCGTTGTATTATTGTAATGCCAGAGAAAATGAGCATGGAAAAGGTCAGAGCTGTTTATCACTGAGTGATCTACACATGGTTGCATAACTTTACTGAGGCACCTTAAGTCAGCAGTGGTGGGTGTGAGAAAGTTGGACTCAACTTGCCATCTTAACATTTAACAAGGTTCTGCATGGGTTTTGTTAACGGAGCTAAAATAGCCGGTCTGGAACCACATTTGGTTTTGAATTGGCTCCATACCTGTAACTACTTTAATATTCTAGTTGCATAAGCATTGCCTATACACAGGCATAGACATTTTGGCTAATTTGATTATTGTTCGTAAACAGGTGGATGTACTACGTGCCCTTGGGGCTGAAATTGTGAGGACTCCAACAACTGCTAGATTTGATTCTCCAGAATCACATGTTGGAGTGGCATGGAGATTGAAAAATGAAATTCCCAACTCCCATATCCTGGATCAGGTAACTTATTGAACAAGAAAAATGGCTTCACTCTGGAAAATAGTTTTTTTTTCATTTATTCATGCACTACCAATATAAAGCAGAAAAAATGCTTATATATTAAGAAATAGAATGAGAGGAAAAGTGGATGATGGAAACATGCTATCTTCTACTATTCATTGATTCGTTGTGACTCTCCCTGCAGATCATTGTAGGCCAATCACTGCTTAGATCATAACAAATTAATAGGGTGAAACATTGCTGTTCTCCTGTTTGACTGGTTTCAAGTGAACTTTTGTACAATCTCTTTCTCTCTGATGGACCTTCTTTATAGGATTTTAGCTATTAAAAAGGAGACACTCTTGGCACATAAGGATCAGCACAATACAATTTTTTCCCCAATATAATATAACAATACAATTACTCTACATACAAAGGAGGGGGGGGGAAGGTAAAAAAGGAAAGGAGAGGGAGGGAGGGAGGAAATTTGTGCTCTATGTTTGAGTTTAGAATGGTTTTCTTTGTGATCCTTAGTAAATTAATGTTAAAAGCATTACTTTATTTTCTGTTTTCTATACACACACACACACACACACACACACACACACACACACACACAATTTACATATAGAAATATCGAACACAATGTGACCATCCTGGAATTTCCTCCACCATATACACTAAAATAAAAGACAAATAACATATATGCTATTTATACATTGCTAGTCTTGTACAGTTGTTTTTGACCAATATACTCATTTTGACATATATATAGTGTTACATTCCGGGTCTGCTTAGCCTAGTTATTTCATGTTCCGACTCCCACCTCTCAATTCCAGCCATCGGTATTTGATTTGATTTTTCTGTTTTCTGATGCACTTTATAGTAAAAATAAAAATAGCATTGATATTAAAAAAAGCCAAAGGAAATAAAACAGCAACTCAAGCCATTTAAAATTCACTCTATTGGGGTGGGGGATGTCTGTTTGTGTCTTTGTAGGTGTGGTATATCTTGCATCTGCATTATTTCTGAATCTCACCTGCAGTGCTACTGAACAGATCAACCTGTTGTTGATCTTACATTTTCTCCATTCTCTCCCATTTGTTTTACACAGTACCGCAATGCCAGCAACCCCTTGTCTCATTATGACACAACAGCAGAGGAGATTCTTCAGCAGTGTGAAGGTACGTTTTATGCTTTACAAACAACTCTGTCATGGAAATGGGAGCTTCTTAGGAAACTGAAGCTATGTTAGGAGAGATTGATTAATAAGAATATGAGAGCATTCAGTCCAACAGACAACTAACTTTGCAGATAATTTGTAGGACTCGGCCAGTGGCCAAGTTACTTCCACACAAAATTTGTTTTAAGAGGTGGAATGAATAAAGATGTAAAAAAAATGCACAAATCTTAGATCTGAATGAACAATTGTTGAATTCCTAGATTGTTTAAAACAGATTTAAGAACCATAGATTTTCAAGGTAGAATATGTTCCGCAATCACAATAGCCCAAACCTGCAAAATAGTTGTCTAAACCCTATACTGCAAGTTCCCTGTAACATGAGTATAAGTCAACCCAAATCTATATCAAAGCAGCTTCTTCCACACATATACACAATTCCCAAATCAAAGTTTTACCATCCTCCTTTCTCTGCTAAATGTTGTGAGTATACCATGAAGAGAGGGCTTTCTTAAACCTCACCTGACCTTTTTGGGCAATATTCAGTTGAATACCTGCTTTGAACCTTAAACTGAGTACTCCCATGGTACAGGTGACATTTTTCTATAACTGGTAGCATTTGTTTATGATCTTGCTTTGGAGCAAAGGGGAAGGCTAAGATTCCCATATTGGCATAGCCAGTAGATTAGATTGGTTTTGTGGGTGGAGATGCCCCATACATGCTAAAGCTTTGAGGTCATGAGATCTTTCCATTCTTGACTCATTTATTCTTAAAATAGTATTTGTGTGCAACAGGTTCAGTTGAAGCCTACTTAATGAGATAGTTGCAACAAGTGTACATGCTAACCATATATGTATACAGAAGTATCTATGATAGACTGAAGAGATGGCAGAATACCAAAGAGTGCTGTAGAACCTTTATAGCGAAACAATAATTTTGATTTGGTTTACATGAGATATCAAACCCCATACAAATGATATTATAGCTTGGTATGTTGTATGAACAGGAGTCTGACTTTCCCATTAACAGTGACCAATTTAGAAAATACATCAGTCATTTTCTTTAGACATTACTAAAAATACCCTGAGGACAAGTTAGGGGAAGCCATGCATACCTTGAAATATGTGAATTTGGGTGGAGGCTCAATGTATTTTGGAAAAAATAATCCAGTTACAGCTGCTACTCATTTAATAACTATCTTGGTTAGTGGTTATTCACAACTCAACAATAATAAACAGTAATAAAAAATAAATTCCTGGCCAATGCCTGCTAATAATTCTGTTACTAACTGGAAACCAGCAGAGGGAGCTCCTACATAAAAAGTCCCTTTTTGCTTCTGGGTAAGACAGAGCAGAACATGCTTTGAAAATAAGTCAGAAGAAGCACTAAGAGACCCTTTTCAAGTTTCCATGTGAACCCAAAGGAAGGTGTTGCTGTTTTAAAATTTGTCTTAGTGTTATTGAATGAATTCTTCAAGCAACAGCATCTGTTTCTTTGAGTCACCGAGCTTGAAAAATATTGGGTTCTTTTCATGACCAGCAGAAGGTGCTGCCCTCATGCAAGATCCAAAGCATTTCTTCCAAATAAGTTTTAAAGTGTGACCACCTCTAATGTAAAGCAATTCTTCTTAGATTTTTTAAGTGGACCCACTTCTAGAATACTTACCTTAATTTTAGGATGTATTGGGAAGTATTGGGAAATTGTTTTAAACTTCATGTTGCAATTTAAATTAAATAAGATGCATGGGGATGTTTAATAGATGAAATTGATAAGAGGACAGAGACTCAAGTATTTTGGAAGAAATCCAAAATAAATTTAGTCATGTCAGGGAAAGGAGATAAATACAGGCTTCTTTTGCAAAAAAAATTGACCAAGAAATTAGAAGATGGATCTTTGCATCTTATGTTAGCAACTGCAGGAACTTTCCAGTTGCAGCCTAAGAGTTTTGTACCTAAAAATGAAGACACCTTAAACATAACCTATTATTACATAAAGTTTTGTGGATCATTATTTCATATGAGATGCAGAGAATGCAGTTCTTAGAAAGGAATATTATATAACCCCAAGCTGTAGCTTGGACAGGAGGAGAGAAAAGGCAGAAATCATATAAGGAGAGGGTAGAGTTTTGAGAGAGCTAACTATTCATTCTTGCATTTGCAAGCTGATTATAAAATGTGATACAATAAGAACTGATTGCTTTATCAATGTTAATATACAGGTAGTCTTCAACTTACAGTAGTTCATTTGATGACTATTTAAAGTTACAATGGTGCTGAAAAAAGTGACTTATGACCATTTTTCACACTCATGACCATTGCAGCATCCCTATGGTTATGTGATTTACATTCTGATGCTTGACAACAGACTCACATTTATGACGGTTGCAGCATCCTAGATCAAGTAATCACCTTCTGCACCTGTGATGACCCGTAGTCTCTCAAAATAACCCAAAACCCCAAACATATATTTAAGTCCAGTAAGGCCTTCAACTTAACTTCACTGTTTTATTAGGCACAATTTAAAGTCACAAAAGTAAATAATGAGGCTAATAGAAAACCAAAACAAACCGCATTGACGAGAGTTCTGAAGCAAGCCAAGATAATTAATCATACATTCCAGGAAGATAAGGGAGGAGAGTCCATGGGAAGAACGCCAGCAAAGATAAACCTCTTTCAAGGTAAACACTAATTGACTCCAGCAATTCTAACTAAAACTTGTATACGTAGCTCCCACCTGCAAGCCACAAGGAGGATCATGGTAATCTCCTCTTGAGTAGACCTTGCTATTCCCTGATCCTCTCCTCCCTGCATGACCTAGGATGGATAGGGGATGGGCCTGGATCCTCTTCTGATTGCTCAGCCAGCCTCTGCCCTTCCCCAGCCTCCTCCACCACCTCTGGAGCCAAATTCCCACTCCCTGTTGGCTGTTCCTCATCTTCCTCAGAGTCAGACTCCATCAGGGGCATGACACTATCCCCCCCCCCTCAGGGCCCCCTCCCCCGGGACCAGGTGGACGAGGATGTTGAGGAAACCGAGTGTGAAAGTCCTGGACCAAACGACGAGCGTGAACATCAGTGGCATCAACCCAGGTGAAGTCCTCTGGTCCATAACCTTTCCGTGCCACCAAATACTGAAATCAGCCCCGCAACTGGCATGAATCTCGGATGCTATCCACTTCGTACTCCTCCTCTCGCAGAGGGGCTACTGGGGCTGGCTGTGATAGAGCCGGTCTATGTGGACTGTCGGGCGAGACAGGGGCTAACAGGGAACGATGAAAAATAGGATGGATACTCATGGTCCGTGCAGGGAGAGATGATAAGCCACAGGATTGATCACTGCCTCGACTGGAAAAGATCCCAAGTAACGGTGATTGAGCTTTTTTGATGGTTGCGTCGTTGGTAAATATCGAGTAGAGAGCCAAACCTGATTGCCAACCGCCAAAGGTGAAACATTGCGACGATGTTGGTCTGCAAACCATTTAGTCTTCCTTGGCTCTCTCTAGTTGATTGTGGACCATGTGGTGCACAGCTTTTAACTCCTGCAAAAATGTATCCACTGCTGGAACTGAGGAATCAGACGGGGCTAAAGAGAAAAGTCGTGGATGAAACCCATAGTTAGCAAAGAAAGGGGACACAGGTGGATGCATGTTGAGCATTGTTATAAGCGAATTCTGCTACCGGCAGCACTTCCACCCAATTGTCTTGTTGAGTATTGCTGAAACAGCGGAGGTACTGCTCCAAAATAGCATTCACTCTCTCTGCCCCCCCATCAGTTTTGGGGTGATGAACAGACGACAGAAGCCTCAACCTGCAGTTTTGCGAGTAGGGTCTGCCAGAAGCATGCCGTAAATTGTACCCCCCCAATCTGATACCATGTGGTCTGGTAACCCATGCAACCGGAAAGCATGGGAGATAAACAATTGAGCTGTTATATTGGCCGATGAAAGACCTGCACATGGAATAAAGTGGGCCATTTTAGTCAACATATCCACCACCGCCAAAATGGTTGTGGCACCATTCGATTGTGGTAACTCAACAATGAAATCCAATGAAACTGCCCCCCATAGTCGTTCTGGCGTGGGCAAGGGCTGCAAGAGACCAGGGGGTGCACCAGAAGCATACTTGGCTTGGCGACAGATCCCACAGGACACCACATATCCCGACACATCATGTTTAAGTCTCGGCCACCAAAATGTCCTAGAGATGAGGTGCAGTACTTTGAACACCCCAAAGTGTCCTGCTGCTGGACTATCATGACATTGATGTAGGATAAGGCCATGAAGAGGACCTCCAGGCACATAAATGCGACCACGGAACAGCAACAGGTCCCCAGTATAAGCCCAAAGAGTTGTCTTCCATTCTCATCCAATTCTCGATGTCGAGCTGCCACAAATGGGTCCTGCCTCTGCGCCTCCTGAATCTTCACTTGAAGGTCCACAGGTTCCTCAGTGGCTGCAAACCACTCCAACGGAATCACCGTTCGGGGCAAGATTTTATCCTCCCTTCGGGTATACTCGGGCTTCTGAGATAGGGCATCGGTGCGTTGATTCCTTCCACTCGGAACATAGGTCAGCCAGAAATCGAAACGAGAAAAGAATAAGGACCATCTCATGTGATGCTGGTTCAGTGTCCAAGCTGTACGGAGGTGTTCCAAATTGCGATGATCCGTCCAAACCTCGATTTGGTCACGAGCCCCCTCCAGGTGGTGCCGCCATGTCCCAAAAGCAACCTTAACCGCCAATAGCTCCTTGTCCCAAATCGTATAGTTGCACGCTGGAGCTGACAACTTCCAGGAATAATAAGCGCACGGGAACAAGATGCCTGCGGGAACATAGGCCTGGAGGAGCACTGCACCAACAGCCACATCGGAAGCATCTGTTTCCATCACAAATGGCTGACCTGGATCAGGGTGTTTGAGGATAGGCTCAGAAGCAAAGGTGACTTTCAATGCCTCAAAAGCTGCCTGCTCCTCAGCACCCCAATGGAACTTCTCCCCCTTCTTGAGCAGATTAGAAAGGGGAGCAGTCAATGCAGCAAAGCGGGGAACAAATGTACGGTAGTAGTTTGCAAACCCAAACAGTCGTTGCACATCCTTTACCCGCTGTGGAGGTTCCCACCCCTGCAATGATCAAATTTTTTCCAGGTCCAGTTCCACCCCAGCAGGTAAAATATGATGTCCCAAGAAGTCAATCGTGGTTTGTGCAAACTGACACTTCTCACGTTTAGCAAACAGATGGTTATCATGCAAACGTTGCAACACCAGCCGTAGATGCTGCCAATGTTCTTGCAGGGAGTCTGAGTAAATCAAAATGCCATCAAAATAAATGACCACGAATTGATCCAACAAATCACAGAAAACATCGTGCATGAAGTGCATGAACACAGCTGGGGCATTGGTTAATCCAAAAGGCATCACAGTATACTCAAAATGCCCATACCTCGTCCAGAAAGCTGTTTTCCACTCGTCCCCTGCACAAATGTGAACCAGATTGTAAGCCCCACACAAGTCCAACTTCATAAAGATCTTAGCTTGACGAAGCTGCTCAATCAGTTCGGGGATGAGGGGAAGCGGGTACTAATTCCTCACTGTGATTGCATTCAGCTTGCGGTAATCACAACACAAATGTAGCTCCCCCGATTTCTTTTTTACAAAAAGCACCAGTGCAGCCAATGGGGAGGTAGAAGGCTGGATAAACCCTTTCCGGAGGCTCTTCTCAATAAAATCCCGCAACGCAGCCAACTCCGGTTCTGACAGGGAATATATCCGACCCACCGGCAATTTTGCATTGGGCAACAAGTCAATTGGACAGTCATACGCCCGATGCGGAGGCAACTGATCCGCCTTCTTCTCCCCAAACACATCAGCAAAGTCCAACTCCGCAGGTAGATCCAGGTCCACGGGCGTAGCCACACTCCCTGCACAGGAGAACAAGCAATGGTTGGCACACCTATCAAGGAACTGCACAGCTCCAGGCGACCAGACAATCTGTGGATCGTGGGCCTGTAACCACTCCAAACCCAGCACCACCGGAAAATGAGGCACTGCTGCAACGTAAAGCAGTTTCCTCCACATGCTGTCCATTACGCATGCAAAGGGGTTTGGTTGCAGCAACCACAGGTCCCGAAAGAAGGGGCCGACCATCAATCGTCTCCACCGTTACTGGTGGAGATACCTGTTGCTGAGGAATGAACCACTGCTTGACAAAATGAGCATCCATGAAATTGGCTGTGGCCCCTGAGTCGACCAGAGCTGGGATCTCCACCGCTCCCACACCAGGCATGAACACACTTGCTGGCAGCACAAGATGCTTCACCAGTGGCGACTGTGGTGGAGATGTCAAAGGTGGCGAGGATGGCAAGGTTGGTGAAGATGGCGGGCCTATGGACTTTACACCCTGACCTGCAGACACCCGTAGGCCGAGCGATGCTCGTTTCCTGCCACCGCAGATGTCACTGCTGTGGATGTCTTAACAGGACACTTGGCCGCAAAATGGCCTCGAATGCCACAATAGAGGCATAAACCATCACCACAACATCTATTCTTTTCTACTTGAGTCAGGCAAGGGCAGCCAGCCCCCAATTGCATGGGTTCCTCCAAAGGCACTTCCACCAAGGGCGCCATCTTGCTGGAAACAGATACGGTCTCTGTCCGTCATCTCACCCGTCACTGCTGAAGTCTAGCGTCAATACGAAGACACAAATGCATGAGCTAAAGGGTGTGAGGGATTCAGTGCACACCAACTCATCCAGGAGCTCCAACGGCAAACCCTCCTGGAACTGGTGTAATAGTGCTGCCTCATTCCATTGTACATCCTGAGCAACCATCCGAAAACTAGCAATATAATCCATGAGTGAGGCACGCCCCTGCTTCAACTCTCTTATATGTCTGTTTGCTGTTTGGCTTCGAACAGGGTCCTCAAACATGGCCTGAAACTGACGGCAAAACTCGGCATAATTGTCCAACACCTGGTTGGGCTGGGTCAGCAGAGGCATCGCCCAACGTGCTGCAGAGCCTGACAACAAACTAATCAAAAACCCCACCTTATCCCGGTCAGTGGGAAAGTCCTCAGGCCGAAGGCTCATGTAAAGCTTGGCACTGCCCAAAAAATGCTGGAAATTGGGCCAGCGAACCATCAAATTTATCTGGCACTGCCACTGGGCATTTTTGGCGTGGCCAGGGAGCTTGCACTTGTGCCACCTGTGCAGTCAAAAGAGCCACTTGCTGAGTTAACTGGGCAATCTCTGCTCTGAGCTGGTCACCCCACAAAAAGCAAAAATAAGTTGAAGGGGTGGCTAGAGTCAAAATGTGATGACCCGTAGTCTCTCAAAGTAACCCAAAACCCAAAACATATATTAAAGTCCAGTAAGGCCTTCAACTTAACGTCACTGTTTTATTAGGCATAAAGTCACAAAAGTAAATAATGAGGCAAAAAGAAAACCAAAACAAACCGCATTGACGAGAGTTCCGAAGCAAGCCAAGATAATTAATCATACACTCCAGAAAGATAACAGGGACAGTCCATGGGAAGAACGCCAGCAAAGATAAGCCTCTTTCACAGGAAACATTAAACTTTGACTCCAGCAATTCTGACTACGCAGTTACAAACTTATATACATGGCTCCCACCTGCAAGCCACGAGGAGGACCACGGTAATCTCTTGAGTAGACCTCGTTTTTCCCTGATCCTCTCCTCCCTGCATGACCTAGGATGGATAGGGGATGGGCCTGGATCCTCCTCTGATTGCTCAGCCGGCCTCTGCCCTTCCCCAACCACCTCCACCACCTCTGGAGCCACACTCCCACTCCCTGTTGGCTGTTCTTCCTCTTCCTCGGAGTCAAGTCTACACCAGGGGCATGACAGCACCCTTCTGACAAGCAAACTCAATGGGGAAACCAGATTCACTTATCACCCATGTTACCAATTTAAGAACTGCAGTCATTCACTTCACAAATGTGGCAAGAAACGTTGAAGAATGGAACAAAACTCACTTAACCAATTTCTCACTTACCATAAATTTCTGGCTCAGTTGTGGTTGTAAGTTGAGGACTACCTGTAATTGCCACAATTTATATAAGCCATATTGAGTAAAGTATGAATGGAAAAAGAAGTAGGTCAGTATGTTCTTATACATAAAATACCTAAAATATGAAATGCTCATCAACATTGATAGGCTGCTAAAAGTAGGGATTGTACTAAAATGACACATGCATAGAGCTACTTTTTTTCCAATGATAGCTTTCAGAATGTATAATAGGAACGTGAGACATCCCATTATTGTATCCTCTTTTTCAGAGTTACTAATATGAAACCATCTTGACTTAAGTAAGAGCATAATAAATGTTTGTTATAGCTCATCTAGATACAGCTTTTTAATATTAGTAAAATATTTCTGCCTGTTCAATAGGTCAAGTAGACATGATTGTGGCTGGAGCTGGCACAGGAGGCACCATCAGTGGTATTGCCCGAAAAATCAAGGAAAAGTGCCCTGGATGCACAGTAAGTCCCAAAGAAGAACATCAGGTTCACTTCTGAAGTTACTGATAGGGGTTTCTCTGTGTGTGTAAACACCTGTACACATGCCTTGTAAATTACCTTACAGACACTTACAAACGGCAGGTGATTCAAAAACGCTATTTCCTTCTCCATGGAAACTACAAGAGACAAATAAAATGTTTTATCTTGCTGATTACAAAGGTGATTTACAGTCATTCCTTTATGACTGAAATCTTGTTTGTAGAAATGGCTATTTTTTATAAACCTGATTGCTCTTGAGTTCATTTGCTACATTTAGCCATGGGAACATGTCTGCAGAGAATTTGGACTCTGTGTATGTTCAGTTCATTCCTATAATGATTACACTTATTTTTCAAGCACCAAAGAAATACTATGACATGTTACCACATGGCAGAACCTAGTGGATTTACAACCGTATTAAATGAGTGAACAGACATTCTTGGTGTGTCTTATGTATTACTACATATGTTTTTTGGTAATTTCTTCCCTTTGTCTCAACATTAGCTTCTGGCATAGCACTATCCAATATGAACTTTCCCATTTATTGAGAACACTACAGATGTTATATTCAGTTTCTGAGAAATAAAATCAATGCAGAGAATTTGTTATTAGTTGTAAAGTCGTGTCCTGTGGTGGTCTCTCATGAAAAGAAGACACTTCGCAAAGTTGTCTTGGGATGAGAGTGCAGAGAGAACTCCAAAACCCTCTTTTATTAGAAGCAATCTTTGTTAACGTAGCAATTTTGTTAATGTCCTATCACAAACGCATTACATCACACAACATGCACTGATCATTCGCATAAAGCATACAAGGCTGCAGAGTTTAAGTTTGCTACAGTTCTGGTTAAGAAATGGCAACAATTTGTCCTTGCTCCTTGCTTCGTGTTCCAGCCAACTACCAGAAGGCTCCGTTGTCCTAGCACGTACACAAAGAACAAAGAATCATAGTTTCCACAGTGTCCAACCCATTGCGACCCCATGGACAATGTTCCTCCAAACCTTTCTGTCCTCTACCATCTTCTGGAGTCCATTTAAGCTCACGCCGACTGCTTCAGTGACTCCATCCAGCCACCTCATTTTCTGTCATCCCTTCTTCTACTGCCCTCAATCTTTCCCAGCATTAGGCTCTTCTCCAGTGAGTCCTTCCTTCTCCTTAGGTGGCCAAAGTATTTGAGTTTCATCTTCAGGATCTGGCCTTCTAAAGAGCAGTCAGGGTTGATCTCCTCTATGACTGACCGGTTTGATCGCCTTGCAGTCCAAGGGACTCACAGGAATCTTCTCCAGCACCATAGTTCAAAGGCCTCAATTCTCTGGCGCTCAGCCTTTCTTATGGTCCAACTTTCACAGCTATACATTGCAACTGGGAAAACCATTGTCTTGACTATATGCACTTTTGTTGGCAGGGTGATGTCTCTGCTTTTTAGTATGCTATCTAGATTTGCCATAGCTTTCCTCCCCAGGAACAAGCGTCTTTTAATTTCTTGGCTGCAGTCCCCGTCTGCGGTGATCTTGGAGCCCAGGAAAATAAAATGTGTCACTACCTCCATTTCTTCCCCATCTATTTGTCAGGAATTGAGAGGGCCAGATGCCATGATCTTAGTTTTCTTAATGTTGAGTTTCAAGCCAACTTTTACACTTTCCTTCTTCACCCGCATCAAGAGGCTCTTTAGTTCCTCTTCACTTTCTGTCATTAGAGTGGTATCATCTGCATATCTGAGGTTGTTGATATTTCTTCCGGCAATCTTAATTCCAACTTTTGATTCATCTAGCCTGCCTTTCTCATGATGTGCTCTGCATATAAGTTAAATAGGCAGGGTGACAGTATACAGCCTTGCCGGACTCCTTTCCCAATTTTGAACCATCAGTGGTTTTGTGTCCAGTTCTCACTGTTGCTTCTTGACTTGTATATACAGATTTCTCAAGAGACAAATAAGATGGTCTGGTAGTCCCATCTCTTTAAGAACTTGCCACAATTTGTTGTGATCCACACAATCAAAGGCTTTAGCATAACCAATGAAGCAGAAGAAGGTGTTTTTCTGGAACTCTCTAGCTTTCTCCATGATCCAGTATATGTTGGCAATTTGATCTCCAGTTCCTCTGCCTCTTCAAAATCCTGCCTGTACTTCTGGTAGTTCTCAATCCACATACTGCTGGAGCCTAGGTTGTAGGATTTTAAGCATTACTTTATTAACATGTGAAATGAGTGCAGTGGTGTGATAGTTTGAACATTCTTTGACATTGCCTATCTTTAGAATTGGAATGTAAACTGACCTTTTCTAATCTTGTGTCCACTGTTGAGTTTTCCAAATTTGCTGGCAAATTGAGTGTAGCAATTTTATTGCATCATCTTTTAAGATTTTGAATAGCTCAGCTGGAATACTGTCACCTCCGCTAGCTTTGTTGTTGCTCAGATTTCCTAAGGCCCATTTCACTTCACATTCTAGGATGTCTGGCTCAACGTCAGTGACCACCTCATGGTGGTTATCAGGGACATTAAGCTCATTCTTATATAGTTCTTCTGTGTAATTTTGCCACATCTTCTTAATCTCTTCTGTCTCTGTTAGGTCCCTGCCATTTTGGTCTTTTATCGTGCCCATCTCTGCATGAAACTTTCCCTTCATATCTCCAATTTTTCTTGAAGAGATCTCTGGTCCTCCATATTCTATTGTTTTCTTCTATTTCTTTGCACAATCCTTCTGTTTGTTATTATACCTAATGCTTTTGGAAATAAGGTTTTGGATGCTAGTGTTGTATTGATAAGAGTGGAGTGGGTTAACATATTTCTGGATAAACTACTGCTCTCACATTCCAGGTAAACATTTAGAAAGGAAAAAAAATGAACCAGAGTTCTATAAAGAGTGGGAAAAATAAGCATCTAGGAAAACTTTTGATTAAAAAAAACTGAGAAAAGTAAGGTGCTCCATCCCCACTGTACATCTATATTAAAACTCATTATCTCAAGATAATTTTCTCTTTTGGAAGCAAACCCAAGAAGTTGTACTTTCTTTATATACGCTTGCATGATTTGCTGTCTTAAGATGATGAGTACGTATACATTCTACTTTAATTTCTTTTCTTAAATTAAGAAAAACTATGCTAAATTTGGTGGGAAATCAAAATTTATCCAAGTAGGAAATTTTTCCATAGGACAATTATTTTAAAATTGTCCCAGATCATAGAATTACACAAATACCAAATTAATAAGGGCAAATGGTTTTTATTTATTTATGGTTCCAGACTGAAAAATGGAATACCTACACAATACTTAACTTTTAAATGGAAGTACCAAAAGTTCCATTATTCAGTTTAGACATTGTCTTTTTAATTTCTGTGTATTTAACATCAAAATACTATTTCAATAACAAATTGCTCTGCAGATTGTAGGTGTTGATCCTGAAGGATCTATTCTAGCGGAGCCTGAAAAATTAAACGTAACTGACAAGACAACTTATGAAGTGGAAGGTATTGGATATGATTTCATACCCACAGTTCTGGATAGATCGGTAAGGAAGGTTTCATATATACATACTTATATATATATTTGCTTTATTGCTGTGATTTTTAACCTTGGCAACTTTAAGACTTTGGACTTCTATTCCCAGAATTCCACACCTCTTAAAATTGTCACAGTTGAGAAATACTGCTTTAGTGTGAACCTCATTGAAATCCCTTTTGTTCTTAAGTGCAAGACTAATCTTTTTTCTTCTTCTCTGATCCAAACTTAGCCTTTAATCTTTGTGATATTCAGGTTTTATTTTGATTCCTGACCTTTAACAGATCTGATCCTACTTTTGTCAATTTCTGAATTTTGGAAGACAAATTATTATTACATGGATTTTCCAATATTTATAACAGGACTTATTCATAGTAAAACATGACTTAGGTGCTCTTTCTTAAAAGCAGTCTGCTTGCTTTATATAGCTTGTGTAGATTAGCTAAACTTTTGAGCAGTGAACAGCACAGAAAAAAATGGAAGATTCAGAAAGGTATTGTAAGGTACTTAAATGGGAACATTTGAGGATTGATGAGGGTGCCCTGTTGACAAAAGGGAAAAATCCTGGATTACTGTACTTTAATTGTACTGTAATTTAATTGTATTATTGGATCCAGATAATATTTTTTCCTGACATTTGTATCAGTGGACCTAAAAATCCACTGCTAAATCCATTCCTCCTTTCCATACATTTCTGACATATCTAATCAATTCTGGTCATCCTAAATGAGATTGAAGCAATAGCAACCAGCAGGTTTTCAACAGAATAGCTTGCCTCCTAGGGTTGTGGGTGCTTCATCACTAGAGGTTTTCAGAAAATAGACTGGACAACCACTTGACCAGGATGGTATAAGATTGCCTGCCTGGAGCAGGACGTTGGATTACAACAGTGGTCGGCAACCTGTAGTCCGCGGCCCACTGGTGGTCCACGAGAAAATGTTGGTGGTCCGCAGAGAAATGTCACCCCCAGAGCAACCCCCCAAAGCAATTAATCCAGGCTGCATGGGAACATAAGGCTGCGCCACCCACATGGCCCGCGGGAACCCTCCCCACCCACTCACTCCTTACCTGGCAGACTTGCCTGCTAAGTTGCTATTTTTCCTTTTTTTTTTTTCCCCCCGACCATCAGCTGTTCTGTGCCGGGAGATTTAGATTAGCTAGAAAGCAGGAAATAGTTGCATTCTTGTTTTCTAGCTAATCTTTAGATCTTCGGCTGTGCTTTTAAGCAGAGCTGAACCTTCCTTAGGACTGAAGGTTCTATTATTCAGTGCAGGTAGCTGATGGCAGAATGGTAGATCTCTGAGTGAATATTTGATTCTGTGAGCAACTCAATCTGCCTGCCTGCTTTGCCTGATTTTGGGTAAAAGTTGCTCTTTTTTATAAAAAAAATTCAATATTTACATACATGGTGCTTTGTGAGTTAATTTTGTGAGTTTGCTTGCAAGCAAATTTTATGTGACAGACACAGATAGCCAATGGCAGAAAGATAGATCTCTTAATCTGTGATTCTGTGAGCAACTCAATCTGCCTGTTTTGCCTGATTTTGAGTAAAAGTTGCTCTTTTTTATAAAAAAAAAATCAATATTTACATAAATATTTATAATATTTACATACAAGCCCTGCCCAGCCAGTCACATGGCCACCAAGCCACATCCACAAATTAGGCCCTGCCCAAGAACCGGTTGTTAAGAAATTTGAATCCCACCCCTGCCTCTGTGTGTGTGAGAGAGAGGGAGAGAGGTTAGATCAGATCTCTTTCTCTCTCTCTCTCTCCCACCAACGTCAGCAAACCACATCAATCAAAATTCATATTAGTGGTCCCCGGGATTTAAAATTATGAGTTTGGTGGTCCCTGAGGTCGAAAAGTTTGGTGACCCTGGGTTGGAAGAGCTCCGAGATCTCTTTCAGCCTTATGATTCTAAGTTCCAGTACCAGTGGATGACTTGTATGAAACAACAGGTCTAGAATAATGTTTTTGTGTCCTTTCTTCCTTCTAGGTGGTAGACAAATGGTATAAGTGTAACGATAAGGAATCTTTTACCTTCTCACGCATGCTAATCAGAGAAGAAGGACTGCTGTGTGGTAAGCATAGTATAATTTGTAGTTAAGACAATAATAGGATTGTGGACACCTTTTTACTCTTGATATCAGTTGCTGCATTTTACTTCCACACCTGACAGTTTTTATGAAAAATATAAACAGTGAATTTGGATCTCATGGATTCTACTGAAGTCTAGTTCTGCAAATCATCCAATATGCATCATATCACTTAAAGCAGTTCTTATAAGCAGAGAGCTATAAAGTATGTAAAACGCTGCTTTCACCATTAGATTTCTTTTTTTTAAAAGTTTTTAAATACACTTTATTTACAAGAATTAAAAACATACAAATTTAAAAAATACAAAAACAATAGCATGTAAATAACACATTCCTCTTTATATTTGATGTCGAATTTGAAAAGTCCTAATAGTCAGTACTAACTGATACTTATCAGTTTTTCATTTACTATGACATCTTAATCACTAAGTAACTCACAATACTCTATTAATCTTCTCGTTGGTTTATAACTATTATGTAATTGATAATACATTCATATTATTTAAATAATGAATTAAAAATATAGTAAATATATAATTATAATAATATAAAAGAGAATTTAAAACCTTTATTATTCTTATACATTTCATATAGACAACTGAATATAATTTGTTTCTTGGGTTCATTTACATGTTTTTCCCTTGTAATCTACCCAATTGTACCATTTATCCCTTATCCTGTGGTAATCTGTATCCTCCTTCCCATTGATTTTGAGCATGAGCCTCTCCAATTGGGCACACTCATACGTTTTTTGAATAGCAACATGTATCGGTGGTACATTTAGTTTCTTCCAATATTGTGCTAATGAAATCCGTGCCGCTGTTAATAAGTGGATGATCTTACTTTAGAGGTATAATTCCCAACAGGAACAGTTCCGGTTTCCACTCCAGCCCACGCTCTATTATTTCTTCTATACACTCTTTTATTTTTAACCAATATTTCTTTGTCTCAGGACAAGTCCACCATAAGTGAAAATAATTTATCATGCCACTGTTTACAGTCTGTGTGATTTTCTTGTAGCAACTAACTAGATGTTCCAACTGTTTCTTCATCTTGTTTGCAGAGACGGCATTTGCTGTCTCTTGCATATTATTATCATACAACCATGTGAAACCACAGCTGCCAGTTCTTTAGCTGGTAGGGTCCTTCATTCACATCAAGGCCTTTCCAAGTCCTAGGATGTCATAATATACTGGCGTAGAATTTGTGTGGATCCAAGTGGTGTGGCCTTTTCAATTGACAAATGGAAATGCTGTCAATGAACAGATTTCCTAAGTGCTGTCCAAGATTTGCAGGAGGAGAATATAGCTCTGCTTCCAACTTAAAGCACTTCAGAGACATCTTCATGGCCAGTGTGAGAAACAAAATGCTGGACTAAGATGCCCTGCGCATTATATTCCTATGTTATTGAATAGTACCTGCCTTTAAAAGAATATATATTTTATTATGACAGAAGTTTTCTAAGAAACTATTACAGTGCTTTAAACAAATTTTCAAAGTGTGCTTAAGTTACTAATTAAGAGACTTTGGCCCCACTTTCCTTTTTCTTTCCTATTCATACTGTGGGTTCCAATATACTTGAATTTTGAGAATCTCCTGTGTCTTTTGACAGGTGGCAGCTCAGGAAGTGCCATGTCTGTTGCCGTCAAGGCAGCCCAAGAGCTAAAAAAAGGCCAGCGTTGTGTTGTCATCCTTCCTGACTCTGTCAGGAACTACATGTAGGTACCCTGCCTTATATGTCTCTTCCTTCCCTGCACTGATTGAGATATGGCTGTCCAGAGATCCAAAGTCAAAAGGGAAAAGATTATTTGGAACTCCTTAGATATATACACTGATAAAAAAAAATAAAGGGAACACTTAAACAACACAATGTAACTCCAAGTCAATCACACTTCTGTGAAATCAAACTGTCCACTTAGGTAGCAACACTGATTGACAACCAATTTCATGTGCTGTTGTGAATAGACAACAGATGGAAAGCATAGGCAGTTAGCAAGACATCCCCAATAAAGGAGTGGTTCTGCAGGTGGTGACCACAGACCACTTCTCAGTTCCTATGCTTTCTGACTGATGGTTTGGTCACTTTTGAATGCTGGTGGTGCTTTCACTCTAGTGGTAGCATGAGACGGAGTCTACAACCCACACAAATGGCTCAGGTAGTGCAGCTCATCCAGGATGACAAATCAATGCGAGCTGTGGCAAGAAGGTTTGCTGTGTCTGTCAGTGTAGTGTCCAGAGCATGGAGGCGCTACTAGGAGACAGGCCAGTACATCAGGAGACGTGGAGGAGGCCGTAGGAGGGCAACAACCCAGCATCAGGACCGCTACCTCTGCCTTTGTACAAGGAGGGACAGGAGGAGCACTGCCAGAGCCCTGCAAAATGACCTCCAATGGGCCACAAATGTGCATGTGGCTGCTCAAACAGAAATAGGCTCCATGAGGGTGGTATGAGGGCCCGACATCCACAGATGGAGGTTGTGCTTACAGCCCAACACCGTGCAGGACGTTTGGCATTTGCCAGAGAACACCAAGATTGGCAAATTCACCACTGGCGCCCTCTGCTCTTCACAGATGAAAGCAGATTCACACTGAGCACATGTGACAGACGTGACAGGGTCTGGAGATGCCGTGGAGAATGTTCTGCTGTCTACAACATCCTCCAGCATAACTGGTTTGGCAGTGCGTCAGTAATGGTGTGGGGTGGCATTTCTTTAGGGGGCCACACAGCCCTCCATGTGCTCGCCAGAGGTAGCCTGACTGCCATTAGGTACCGAGATGAGATCCTCAGACCCCTTGTGAGACTATATGCTGGTGCGGTTGGCCCTTGGTTCCTCCTAATGTACGACAATGCTAGACCTCATGTGGCTTGAGTGTGTCAGCAGTTCCTGCAAGATGAAGGCATTGATGCTATGGACTGGCCCGCCCGTTCCCCAGACCTGAATCCAATTGAGTACATCTGGGACATCATGTCTCGCTCCATCCACCAATGCCATGTTGCACCACAGACTGTCCAGGAGTTGGAGGATGCTTTAGTCCAGGTGTGGGAGGAGATCCCTCAGGAGACCATCCGCCACCTCATCAGGAGCATGCCCAGGCGTTGTAGGGAGGTCATACAGGCACGTGGTGGCCACACACACTACTGAGCCTCATTTTGACTTGTTTTAAGGACATGACATCAAAGTTGGATCAGCCTGTAGTGTTTTTTTCCACTTTAATTTTGAGTGTAACTCCAAATCTAGACCTCCATGGGTTGCTAAATTTGATTTCCATTGATAATTTTTGTGTGATTTTATTGTCAGCACATTCAACTATGTAATGAACAAAGTATTTAATGAGAATATTTCATTCATTCAGATCTAGGAGGTCTTATTTTTGTGTTCCCTTTATTTTTTTGAGCAATGTATATCTCACCTGTCTGCAACTCCTTAAAGTAGCTGTACCTTTTTCTGGGCTCATAGGCATAATGCCAGGAAAACAGATTTGGTTTCAGGAGGTATGATGTGCAGGAATGAAATGCTCACATACGCATGCTCCAAATGACCCTTTTGATTTTGAATTCAAATTGTTTTACGGGCCAACCCTACTCTAAAGGAAAGGTTCTTACTCTGCTCGTTGTTTTTTGAGATCTCTAAAAACCTATTTTATTAGAACTTGGGGATTCATTCATAACTTGGATGGGTGAGTAGATTGGTTGGTTTTGGCCTATCATCTATAATCCACTGCTAAAAACACATGAATGGTTTGTTTGAAATCTGGCTCCCCTACGTGCTTTCTTAAAATATATTTTATTTCACATACTGAAATAGCCTGCAGGTAGTCCTCAGCTTACATCCACTGATTCAGTGACAAAGTTATGCCAGAGCTTTAAAAATGGACATACAGTATATAAAGTCACTAAAGTTCCAGCTGTGGCAGCACTGCTGCAATTACATGATCGTAATCTAGGTGCTTGGGAGCCCAACTCACAATTATGACATAGCAGAGAACAATGGTCATGTGCTTACCATTTGTGATCTTCCCTGGCAGCGGTAAACTGGTGGGGACAACCTACATTGGGCTTCCCAAGCTGTCCCCAGCCTCCCTTGATTCACAGGTGGCCTGCACTGCGCCTCCCAAACCTTCCAGCCTCTCCCCCCCCACATTACACTCCCCCCCTCCACTGCATGCACTTGCCTGGGGTTCCCATCAGATAGATTCTGATGTCTGCTACAATTGCTGTTGCTAAGCGACATCGCTTAGCAATGGCAGTCCCAATCCCATTTGCTATCATAACTGAAGGACTACCTATATTTATATTTAGAGTAAGCCTTGAGACAAGGACATTCATGAAGAGGAGTCAACTTTTAAATGCAACTGTGACTGAACTCCTGTTCCTTTTTTCCCCATGCATCACACATTAAAAATTACTAATTTTTGATTGCAGTCACAGATACTATCTTGACTTTTTAAATCCCCACGGGAGAGCTGTGGGCAAGTGAGACCAGCTTCTTGTGCATTCCAGTGTGGCTGTTGCTTCTCTCAGTTATGGCAACAAGAGGTTGCTACTGCTCCATTCTACTTTGCAGTCTAAAATCAAGTTTTTCAACATCTCAGCCTACCCTTCCCATTGCTGCTGCTTTAGATGCTTTTGACTATCAGAAAGAAGTAATAGTAAAGGAAATAGTCCTGTAAAAAGCTTGTTTGATCTGTGGAAGAATAAATCAATAAAGCTTTTCTGCTAGCTACATGTTTAAAATGAAAATACTTTTATCATTTTCTATGACATTGTATCTCACATTATCCTTATTGGTTGTTTACATTTAAAGCAGATGTCACCTGAATTGATGTTTATGTCTTAACTGTCTTGGTGATTTTTAGGTCTAAGTTTTTAAGTGACAAATGGATGATCCAAAGAGGATTCATGAAAGAAGAGGATGATGATATTAAGAAGCCTTGGTGAGATGATAAGATCTATTATAATTTAATAAAATGCAGCACGTTTCCCCAAGTTTTAAACCTAATGAAACCATCTTGTTGGCTTCTTTTCTTGTTTTCTCCGAGTATATGGGTATAGTTTAATTTTTCTTTTCTCTCAGTCTGGATCTGTACATGGTAACTGAAGGCAATACTTCATGTGTCATGAGAAAGTAGACACTAATAAAGTGTTAGTTTTTAAGCCAGAAGGAGCCTTTTAACATATTGATAGTTTATCCTTTCAAACTAGATTTAAAATCCAAGCCAATAATTCATTCATAGATTGAAGATTCTTGAGGGCGGCTAGTTCATTCGGGTCTCCATTCCAGTTGGTAGAGAGCATGAACAGGAAAGGGCTGTTGTGAAAGTTCTTGATTGTGAACTTCCCACAGCATCTAAATGGCTGTGGTGGTGAGAGGCAGATAGGTCTTTGATCTGAACCAGGGTTTAACTTAGCTTTGATTGATAAAAGGAAACATGCTTTTTCGGCCTTGGTACCCTGTACATTCTTCCCTCCAAAGTTAGATTAGTTCCATTCCTTTTGATATTCTGAAAGGCCCTCAAGTCCTGGTAATGTTATCAGGTCTGAAGCTCCCGGGATGCTGGAAACCTGCGGAGGTGGATTTTGTTGTTGAGATGGCCATTTTTATTCCTCTAATTACCTACAGGTTGTATCATTGGCTTTTTATATTTATTAGTATGGAAGGCTTACACTTTATATCTGCAACTTTTTTTATTTTATGGTTGTGCACCTTCCCTAGTCACTTTTGGTGAGATGATACTATATAAATTCGATAAATACATAAATAAAATTAACTTTATCAGAATTTATATTTATTCCTTATTTAAAGAATAATCTATAGCTAAGGACACATCTGAGAATGTAGGAAATGTTGTAAAAATATATCATGTTTATTTCTCTTTCTTCCTTTGATGTCAGCAACAATAAGCTGTCTATACAAACTGTGCAACTTCCTGTTTGGCTTACAGCAGCACTGCTTTCAGTGATATGGTGATGGTATACACAAATGCAAATAGAAGGGATATCTGAATCATACATTCAGTTTAAATGACCTTTCCTGGAAGTCAGTCAGGGTTTAGCTGCTGTATATTTACTCTTGAATACAATATAACACCATATAGTCTTTTCAGAAAAGCTTAAGTTTAAAAAAATGCAATGCAGTTTGTTCTTCTGTGCCTGAACTGTTAATGATACTTGCTCATTTCCTAGGTGGTGGCATGTGAAAGTTCAGGAACTATGCCTGTCTGCCCCCCTAACTGTACTGCCAAGTGTTACCTGCGAAAAGACTATTGAAATACTCAAAGAGAAGGGATTTGACCAAGTACCAGTTGTGGATGAATCTGGGTATGTACAGTCTTCAATATTTTCTTCCTTTGTTCCAAATAAATCAGTTTTCTAAAGAGTATAATGCCTATCTCTGTCCCATTGGCAAGTTATTTGTCTTTTTTGATTTTTTTCAAGTAACATCATGTCAGTCATGCTATGGGTTTTCTGGTACAAATTGCTGCAATGTGATTAAATGGCAAAAGGATACCATATAATGTTGCTCCTTTGGCTCTCTGCTAATTGAACTTGCATTCAGTTAGCAGAACCTAAGAGGCCGATATGGGTAAAGGTTAGAGCCTGATGCAGGCCCTTGGCATAAATGAAATGGGCTAATCAGCTGAAGCAACAGATTCTCCAACCTTATTTGTGTCAAGTCACAAGGACTGCATGATAGAATGGTACTTCCTTAAGTTTAAGGGGAAAGTGGAGCTAAGGTTGCTGCTTTTAAAATCTGCTTTTAAGGTTGTGACATGTTTATTATCTTTTGGTAGAACTGTCAAAAGAACTAAAAATGGCCCATAAAATGATTAACCGAGTTCTTATTGCATAGCTAGGTAAATAAAAAGTCAGTGGGATGACCAACCTGTCCAGGACAAATTGTGATCTGAGCAGGGTTGTTCCCAAAGTTCACCCCAGTTTAATAAACAAGGTTTGTTTAGTAAGTCTCTCATATAATCGGTTCTAACAGTAGCTCAGATGTAAAATGTCCTAGACACTGTCTGACCCAGACAGTGTAAATTATAGTGAAAGGTAAACAATGAGGAAGATGTAACAAAGAAAGAAATATCATTGTACTCTCACCTAGTCTGGCAGATCTATTTCAAATTATCAAAAGCTAACTCCAAAGTTTTAGGAGCTATGCAGACACAGTCATAAACTTTGGTTTAAAACAGGGATGCCCAACCTTGGCAACTTTAAGACTTGTGGACTTTAACCCCCAGAATTCCTCAGCCAGGTTTGTTTGCTACCGTTTTCATCCTGAAAAAATTCAAAATAGATATTTATTTTTAGAGGACAGTAATGTAAGTGGAGCAGGTCAAGGTGGGGAAGGATCAACCTCAAGCAAATTCGGAATTTCAAAATTCTCCCCTCTGAAAATGGTGGTTGGGTTGATAAAAGAAAGTAACAATGTGAGATCGGTGTACTTGTCATCTGAATTTGTGGAAATGTTGATGTGAAGCTTCTAATTTTTTAAAAAAGCATTGATACTACTCATTCAGTGCTCTGCTTGGGGTGTCCTTTTTTTAGACTGATTCTGGGGATGGTTACTCTCGGCAATATGCTCTCTTCAGTGCTTGCTGGTAAAGTACAGCCTTCGGATAAAGTCAGCAAAGTCATCTACAAGCAGTTCCAAACGGTATTGTGCCTTCTGTATATGTGTTTGTTTCTATTTCCTCCCCCACCTCTGTGGTATGTAGAAAAGTTTCTGAAAATCTCACACATTGAATGCAGGTTAAGGAAAGTATACACACTTATCTCACTCAGAGCAACATTCAGAAAAGATGTTTACATGCTTCAAATATTGGGTTCTAAAAAGAAGTTTTAGTGGTACCAGTGAACACAGTGTTGAGTATTCAGCTTCTAAAGCCTGACAAAAGCGACCTTTCAGTCTGGAATACCCTTTCTGTACACTGAAAATGCCTTTTGACAGAGGTTTTAAAATTATTAACAATACTATGGCGAATATATAGAAGCAAAATACATGTAAATTTAAGGGACAGAAACGGTAGTAGGAATCATTGTTTTTGTTGTACAAAATAAATTGAAATCACATGAGATAAAAAATGTATCTCTGTACTTTTTAATGTGCGAGTGTTAAGAACTTCCATGTATAGTCCCATCCTGCCTTCACTATGAAGCTACAACACACATGTAGATAGGTATTTTATTGCTGGAATGATAGTTGGTTGATGCTATAAATTGGTTATTGTGGAGGTCCGTGCAGTGTCTCTAGTAGACAAAATGCTTAAATCGCAACCCCACACAGGGTTGATGGTATTAATTCACGTATATCCTGATTTGCACAGAAAAAACACCCCATAAACATATAGTACCTGTGATTTTTTTTAAAAAAATCGCTCATGAATACATACTCTTTTTTTTTTAGTCTTGTTGGAAAACTACTAGGTAGAATGAGGATCAGAGTTCTTATCTAAATGTGAATGGCATGTAAGAAATAATAGCAATGTCTTTTAAAATCATGCAACTTTCTGTTACAGATTCATTTGCAGGACAACTTAGGAAAGCTCTCTCATATTTTGGAAATAGATCATTTTGCTCTGGTGGTACATGAACAGATTCAATGTGAGTATAAGGTTATTATTTATAGACTGTTCCAAATCAGATTTTGTCTTTTTAACTAGCATGGTTAGGACTGTAAGTTACTGAATTTCTAGTAACTTACAATGATGTAACATTTTCCATTAAATAAATTCAAATAAACCCATAGCCATGAAATAATGTTACTTCCAGCTTCTCCAATCCAGTGGGTTGAGCTGTTTGAAATCTTGGGTTGGACTGAAAAGAGTAGTCTATAAAATATAACATCTATATTAATAGTGGTACAATCAAAACTTTAACTGAAAGGTGTTTTTTAACACCTTTTTTATTGATTCTAGCCTTGCACTCATTACAATGCTATGCCTGCCTGTCATATATTTTTAGAGAAAATGGATTGTGCACTGATTTTTACCCCAATCTTCCATAACAGAACATAATTTCTAGAATCATCTATTATATATATGTTCTGGAGTATGAAAAGCCTCTAAGCTCCCAATTTAAATCCTGGGATGAATCTGGATTTCTTCCAGCTGCTTTCCATGATTAATACATAGCATCAGAAATTAATGGGTGAGCAACTCAAGACAAGGAAGATTAGAATCTCATGACTGATGTATATATAAAGAAATAATAGCATTAGAAGTAGTCTGCTGTTTCTTCAAAGTAACCCATATAGTTACTAAGTGACTTTGTCTTCAAGGTCATTGTTAATGTATACCTATCTATTCAATACATTTTTGCTAAGAACTCATAACTGCACTTTATATTTAATTGATATCTTTCAAATTTAGTAGCATATGCTGTAACCAAATGATTTCTTTGCTATTTATGGTTTACTGAAATTTTCTGGAAATGTTGCAGTGAAAATAACATAATTCTTAAGAATAACTAATTTATTATCCTTTAAACTTCATTGTAAAAGCTTGTATGATAATAAACTGATTATACCTTAAAAACTCAGAAAATTCTCTATTATGGCACTTTTTGCCACTGTTGATCCTTGATTTATTTATTAGTTTACTTTAATTTTTATTAATTTATATAAAATAAAAATGCTTTCATGCAGTTAATCACTTGAGATTTAGAAACTCCGTCTATCTCCATGTATTTACTATCCTTTTGGCAGAGTTTGGCAGAAAGCCTATCTTTAAAATATGTGTCAGGAGTGTATCTTCATGTGTGTGGGAGTCCATTTGTCCTTGTTCATTTAACCTACACTTCCTAAAAGGTTTTTGCCGTCCAGTGGAAGGACACAATCTTTTCATTAGATAAAAGAAATCTTTTGAATCAACTGTTAGATTATGAAACTGTTTCAAATGTTCAATCGGAATGTCCAACTTTGTTAACAGGGTTGCACTTAATGTTTATTTTTTGAGGGAGGAGGATTGAGGTCTACAATAAATGGAGTAATATGAAAATTGGGCTGATGTACTGCCATGTACATGGGCAGAGCCAGGGTTTTCTGCATTCCCTTTCCCAGTGTTTTATGTTAAATCTTGTCTTGTGTCATTGTTGTTTTTAATTATGCTCTAAACTTAATATTAAAATATTTCTGTATCTTCCTCAACAAAATAGCAGGAAACCAAAACCTGGGGTGGAGAGGGGAGACTATTTGGAAAGGTATGCAGAAAATCATAGGCCACTTGTAGTCTTCTATCATGACTTGTGGAGCCTGGTTTTACAGTGACAAACAAGTCACAAAAATAAAATTCACAGAATAGACAATATTTCTCAACCTCAACAACTTTAAGACATGTGCATAAGTTGAGCCAGTGGCATCACAGAGATGCTAGCAGACACCTATCAATAGAATAAATAGACCCAGTTTCCAACAGCAGAACAAGGAACAAGGCAATTCCTTAGTTGCTATCATCTTGGAGTACTTTCTTTGTTTCTCTACACGGGGCGTTCTGACTAGGAGCTCTGGTAGATACTCATCTAAGACATTAGGAAGGCATCTGGTTAGGAAAATCTAATGTTAGATAATTATGTGCATGTATAATTTATTGGTCTGTAAATGTAAGATAGGAATTTTATGTTTTAAAGTGCTCATTGGAAACAGTTTCACAAAATCAGACTTACTGTGTTCTCTTGTGTCTTCTAGATCACAGTGATGGTGAATCTAGTAAAAAGCAAATGGTGTTTGGTATTGTTACGGCAATTGACTTGCTGAACTTTGTGACTGCTGAGGAACAGAAGAGAAACACAACCTAAGTTCAAGAAACACATCAATGGGGCTTATTTCATTGGTTTTTCACATTAAAAAAAATCTCTCTCTTCTTCTTCTTTGCTCCTTTTGTTAGAACAATCTAGAAAAAAATCCTTTTGGACAAAATGAATATCATCAGAGTCATTATAAACCATTGTTAGCTTTTAAAAGGTAATTTCTGGAATGTAGCAAGCACGCTGAAATATAAGGACACTGGAAAGTTTTAGGATGAATAGTTTCAGTGAAGAATTGCTTTGTTTGCACATACAGGTTGTGAAGGCACAGCTGAGTTGGAGAGGACTAAGGCCTGAATGATCAAGCCATCATAATAGGATGGCTATGTGACAGCTTCTCAAAGCCCACTGCTAATCCTGCTTCCACATTATGGTGTGGTCTAGAAAGTCTTCCATTTCCTACACTGTACTGTTTTGCTGCCTAGAATGGTAGATAACCTTAATCTTTAATCCTATTAGAACTTGACCACTGTCAAACACATTGGCTGTCTTCTAGTGCACGAAAGAAAACACAACCACTTCCTAACCCAATATTCATAAAGGAATTGTCTTCATGTGTATCAAGAGGTTGAAATATACAATTACATGAGCAATAGGGAACGTGGTATGAAAACATCTTCTCCATTATGATTATTTTAAGCTCTTTTTACAGATGCTAGTTTATCCAGCTGTTTCTGCTGAATTCGATATTCCAACCCTCAACATTAAGATGACAAAACATCCTTTATTCTCCCTATTTACTTTCTGAATTCTTAATAGCAATGCCTTTCCTTATTCTGGTTAAATTATTGGTGCAAGGGGAAGTAAGTAATTGCTTTGACAGTTAGTAAAAAATGAGGGGGGAAATTCTTTAACTCATACATGCTGTTTCTCCTCTGTATACATTGTGTATAATCAAAGATAATTTTGTGTACTTGAAATACTACCAGCTCATAGCCCAGCCTCTGGCAGCATCAGAAAACACTGTATTTTCTCTACTGTTAAATATTCTAATGTTCTATTAAATCTATTGTTGGCTAACTTGATTACTAATATATTTGTTCCACAAAGACCAAATCAGAATATTTAATATTAAAGTATTATATCGGCACATTATTTTAACTGTCCAGCATCACATTGGCCAATAATTGTTATCTCTGCTTTGTTTATGGGTATGCTATGTTACTTTAAATGATACTTGTTTAGCTGGTCTTAATAGGGAATCAGTGCAAACAAATTTAGCTGTTTTCTGTTTCTTTTGGTAGTCTCCTTTACTGCAGGATTTTTTTTCTTTTCTGGCTCACTTTAACCTCTACTGGAAGTTTTAAAGAAGTGTGATACCAGTATTAATACTGTACTTTCTCTAGTCTCTTGTTTCATTGCAGAAAAATCTTGACACAGATCAAGGACCCAGTTATCTGTACAGAAGGTTCCTGCATGTGTATGGAATTCACATTAAGATATAAAACCACTAAAAGGCTACTGTAATATAATAAATGATGAATTACTATTTGGTCTCAAAAATATTGCTCAGCATTCAACATTCCAGTAAGCATTTCTGGTTCTTTAGGACCATGAAAGGGTCTTCTGTCTGTTTTTAAAGTTTGGATTCTGTGTCATGTTTATTCCAAATTTACTACAAATAATTAAATAAACGTTTTGGTAAGCTAGTAAAGCTGGAGTCTATCTAGTTTGTCTTAGAAATAATTCTGATATGTTGGGGGTGAGGGACATGTTGGTTTATGTGTGAGTGTTTGTATAAAAGTATTAGTTAATAACTATTAAATTGTTTTAAAGGAAAATGGTGTTATAAAATAAGGACAGAAAAAGTGAAAGCTAAAACTGCAAAAAGAGGAAAAACAAGAATAGGTAAAAAGATAATCTTTACAGCAGCTTTATTCTGTTTAGAACATAACTCTTCTTTCTATAACCTTGTCTATTCATGAAAACTATATGTTCATTTTTTTTCTAACAAAATTCATGAGGGGTTTCCAGTCAGTAATAAACAGACATTGTAGATACTGTTTTTTCTCTGATCAAAGAACCCAATCTTTCAAACACAATATCTTATTGCAGTTATCATATACAAAAATAAAGTCCCATGACTTTTTTTCAGCTATTTGTCCGTCAGTCCTAAAGATAAACCTTTGGTTTTAATTGTTTAAAATCCTCTGAATCTGAGTGTATTTGGATAAAAAAAAATAGCATTTTTACATGTCCACAAAACAAAATAAATGTCCTTTCTTGTTCACATTTTCAGTATGAATTTGAAATGCCTGTATTCTGAACTATTTTTCTAATGGTATATAGCAATGGTAAATCATTATCTTCTCAAATTCTTTTGAGATTATAACATAAAATATATATTTATATAGACATTCCCTCAACTTCTGGGCAAAATTCAGTTGAAACCTCTGCTGTTTAAAAGTAAAAAAGTAAAGTAAAATCACGTCTTCCCGATTTGAAATGGGTTTTTTTTTTATGCTTTAATCTTTCAGTCAAACATTCTCCTTTTTGCAAGATACTAATATGAATCTGTTGTGGCTCTGGGCTTGGATTCAGCTCCTGTGATTGATATGAGTTCAAGTGAGGAGGTCATGGCAGAAAAATATGAGCCGGCCTGGCTTACTGATTGGACTGATAACCAGGATGAGGAGATGGACGTGACAAAGGACGACAGACCTGATGTATTAGAATTGTCAGGACCTTTGACCTCCTCTGGTTCCTTATCTGATCAACAGCCGGGAATGGCTGACAGGGAAGTTTTGAGAGAGTCTTCTAGTGGAGATGAGAACTTGGAAAATTTGTGGTTAAATGTAAAAAATAGAAGAAGGCAAAATCAGCTGAAGCGAATGAGGAGAGCGAGTCAGTAAATTAGCACATTGCCTCAATGAGTATAAAAGGACACAGCTGGGCTGGTACATTTTGCCAGGAACAAAATGACTATTTGAGTGAGGACGTTACAGCAAGAAGCTCTGAGACTGGAGATTTATTGCCAGGACTGGTTTGCCAGACAGAGTAAAGATTTATGCTGTGGTTTCTGCCAGCCGTTATCTTGTAAGACTTCTTTCCGTTTGATTTAATTGTGAAATGGCTGCTTTCTGTTTTGTTCGTTTGAATTTCGAAGGGGAGTCATAACATGAATCTAAGAATAATTACATCTACAGGTGAAACTCGAAAAATTAGAATATCATGCAAAAGTTCATTGATTTCAGTAATGCAACTTAAAAGGTGAACCTAATATATGAGATAAACTCATTACATGCAAAGCAAGATAGTTCAAGCTGTGATGTGTCATAATTGAGATGAAAACTGCAAATCCACAATCTCAGAAAATTAGAACATTGTGAAAAGGTTCAATATTCTAGGCCAGTGGTTCCCAAACTTTCTCAGTCCACCGCCCCCTTGGATCCTCAGTGCCCCCCACCCAAGGGTGGGATTCAAATTTCTGTGGGCGTGGCTTAATTTGAGGACATGGCCTGCTGGTCATGTGACTGGGTGGGCGTGGTTTGGTGACTGGCAAATCAAATACAAGTGGTCCTCATTTAACGACAGGTTGCTTAGCAAGTGTTCTAATTTATGACTGGCCTCCCCAGAGCTACTTGACCTATTTTTGGAGTTTTGACAGCCATACAGACACACACACACACACACACCCTTCTAACCCAGCTGGTTGGACTAGATATCTCATTCACTTTCTCCCTCCCTCCCTTTCTCTTTCTCTTTCTTTTCAGTCCACCTCCCCCTTGGTGCTACAAACTCATCCTCAGTGCTCCCCACCCCCTATAAACAGCATTATTCAGAATAGCGGTTTGCACGACCCACCAAAGAAGATAGTAACAGTAAAATTCAAAGTTGTAACAATTAATTGCACATTTATTCAAAATCCAATTTAAAAATCTTTTAAGTTAATGTTAATTCAACAAAATGGTTGAACATGATCCAGTGATACCAGGTTTTCAAAGTCTGATAGTCATTTATCATTTAAGAATTTACTGAACAGTGAAGCAGTTACTAATGCGATGAATGTGCTTGATGAATTGATACCAGTTTCCTAATGTCTGGTTTTAAGTCATTTAGCAGGAGTCTTAAATCACCATATTCAGTAATCTGGAGTTGATTTCTTGCTTGGAGAGAAGTTGGATGACCACACTGAAACTACGTTCCACCAAATATGATGTTGGAAATGCAACAAGGAGCTTCTTTTAGTGCAGGATAGCAATCAGAAATTTCCTTCTGTAACCAAAACTCTTGGTACGATTTCTTAAACTTTGGCTTCAGTTCAATGTCATTTTTCAGTTCTGTTAGTTGTTCCTCCACCACCCCATCTTCCTCAGTATCTAAAAATGGATTTATCACCCAATCTGGAATTTCCATCCAAAGAAGATCCTGATACCGCTCAGACATATCTTTATGCAGCATGTCCAAATGGTCACAAAAAACATGCAGATCATCATCTTGTATCCCACCTTTCTTTTCTAGCTCAGACAAGCTTGGAAATTGGTATAGCTCACAACGGCCTATATTGCGCTTGCATAGAGCTAACTTTGAAATAAATGTAGAGATGACAGATTTGGCCTTAAAAAGATTGACTTGATTTCCTTGCAACTGCAAATTCATTTCATTGAACTTTGTAAACAGTTCTGATAAGCAATGCCACGCCTGACCTTTTTAAGTTCATCACTGAGCAAAGCATTCTTGCCTTCAAAAAACTCCACAACAGTGTCAAAAAGATTGTAAAAGCGTCTCTAAACAGTTGCCTTTTGAGAGCCAACGAACTTCTGTATGAAGCAGCAAACGATCAAAATCTTCATCATTCTCAACACAGCTCTCAGAATAGTCAATCATCGAGAGCATGTACTTTTAATTTTGTTCACTGCAGTAATGACTGTGTAATGACTTGTTGAAGCAATCACTGAGGTTTTTTGCAATCAGATGTTGGCGATGAATGACACAGTGAATGGTAAAGACATTTGGCACTGCCTTTTTCAAGTAAGCAACACATCCACGGTAGCAACCAGTCATTGATGGCGCTCCATCAGTTGCACAAGCAAGTATGTTGGTTAGTGGAATTTCCTTGTCTTTGAAGAACTGCTCAACAACATGAAATATTGACTCCCCTTTAGTATCTGTATTTAGTTGCCTTGCAAATAACAACTCTTGAGTCAAACTTTCATCTTTAATAAAGTGCACATAAGCAAGAAGCAAAAATTCATTGCCTGGCAAAGTTGATTCATCCAGCTGTAATGCAAAGTCTGTTGTCCGTAGTATGCTGCACAATACATCTTCCACATTCTCAGCCATTTCATCTATGCGTCTTTGAACTGAATTGTTACTGAGAGGAATCGGCAAAGCATCTCTGATTAGATTCTAGTAGTGAATAGAATCAGAGATGCTTTGCTGATTTTTGTCCTTTGTTTTATGTCCGAGTGGAGTGGTGCACCAAATGAATGGGGTGAGCCTGAGAGAAGGAAAGAAAGAGAGAGGTAGAGAGAGAGAGAAAAGGAGGAAAGGGGAAAGAAAGAAAAGGGAAAAAGAGTGGGGAAGGGAGGGGGGAGAGAGAGAGAGAAAGACAGAGCTGATGTATCAGATTGAAATGAGGTCTAGTTTAGAGGCCCTTTCCCATATTGAAACATCTTTGCCAGCACATTGAAACATTATTGGCTTCTATTAATTAAAGGTTTTGTGGACGAAACATGGCCAAGACTATCAGGAAGCTCTCACATTTTGTTGAGGATTTAAACAGGATCCATTGGACCAGATCTCCATGCTAAAAATTACTTTTCCCCAATGTATTACAATGCCAATTCTGAAGAAGGCAAAACCAAAATGTATTGGTAAATTACAAGGAGAACACACACACACACACACACACACTCCCTTCTAACCCTGCTGGAGCAGGTGATTGGACTAGAATAGATATCTCGTTATCTTCCTCCCTCCCTCCTTTATTTCTTTTTCTTTCTGTCCCTTCCACCACCACCCCTCTTTCTTTGTCCCTTTTTTTCTTTCCCTTTTCTCTTTCTTTTCTTTCTCTTTCCCTCTCTCAGGTTCACCCCACTGACTGCTGCACACTCCGGTGCAAGGGGCTTAATGGGGTGAGCTTGTGGGGCCTCACTTCAAATACAGCTGCGATGGGACGTTTGAAAAGGAGAGCAAAGCCACTCTGGCTTTCCTCCCCTTTTCAAACATCCCGCTCCCGCTGCGTTCAAGGCAGGCATATTGGGAAAGCGGAGGAAAGCCAGAGTGGCTTTGCTTCCCTTTTCAAACATCCTGCTGCCCTTGCATTTGAGGCGAGGCCCTGCACGTTCACCCAATTGACTGCTATACACTCCAAGGGGTTCAATGGGGTGACCTGCGGGGCCTCACCTTGAACGCAGCAGTGGCGGGACATTTGAAAAGGAGAGCAAACACACTCTGGCTTTCCTCCATTCCCGCCACCACTGCATTTGAGGCAGGCACGTCAGGAAAGTGGAGAAAAGCTGGAGTGGGCTTGCAGAGTATAACCTAGATCAGACGGTGGTAGAAAGGTAGGGCGGGCTGGCTGGTGCTGGTAGCGATGGCGGGCAGGAAAATGGAAAATGAGCGCACATGTGCTACATAAGGAGTGACTGGGCGGGGTGAGTGGGAAATGCTGTCAGTGATTGTTGCGCATGCGCGCAATGTCAT